ATTAGTATTTTTCTTTTGCTTTATTTTATTTTCTATTTTAATTTATTGTATTTTGCTTCGCATTATTTTACTTCTTCATTTTACTTTTCTTTTTACTTTAATTTAATTTAAACTTGATTTTATTACTGTATTTTACTTAATTTATTTTATTTTATTTTAATTTAGTTTTAATTTTATTATTTTAATTTTTTATTTATTTTCATTTTATTATTTTCATTTTATTTAAATTTTTTTTTTTATTTAACTTTGTTTTATTAACCATAACACAAGTGCAACATCGCTACTGTAAAGTTTGTGAAATTAGGATTAGTACATCCCCAATAAAGTGAGTTGAGAAAAGTAAGCCAAAGGTTAAATAATAATGAATTTTTGAAGATAATTTAGCTAGATACTAATGCTTTTATTTTATTTTATTTTACTTTTTTATTTTGTTTTATTTTGTTTTACTTTAACCCAAGTGTAATATCACTACTTTTATTTTATTATATTTTATTGTATTTTATTTTATTTTATTTTTATTATTTTATTTTTTTGTCTGTGTTGTGTTTCAGGAGGAAGGGCTCCCTCAAAGGAAGGAAGTGGAAATCCATCTTTAATTTAGGCGGGAGACTCCAAGATCCGCGCAAGAAGAACAAATACTGTCCTAAAGGTGCGAGCATCTGACTGTACATCAAACGGCTGTATTATACAGTATTCTGGAAATGCAAAATAAATGTTTGCATGACTGAAGTCAACAGATAATTAACTACAAATGCTTCCCCTCTCACATCTAATTCATAGCTTTCGTTTCTCATTACTGATTCATGTTTATCTGTATCTTCTTAATGCACAGATAAAGAGAAGACGGCTCTGAGGCCGGCGAAGAGCATGGACTCTCTGAGCTCAGGTCCTTATGCACTAGACGGTATGAAGAGCGTTTTATCATCTGCTAATGATTAAGATTAATCTGTATATATGGCTGTTTCAGTCTCATACTCATATTTCATCTGTATGAAATTACAATTACAGATTTACCGCAATCAGATATTAAATGTTGCACATTTCTTGGTGTTTAACATTCATCCTATTGATTGTGTACTTTACCTTAATTTAGAATTTGTACAATAATTTAAAAAGCATCTATAAGCATGCATATATGTTCAAAAATAAATGCCATAAATGCCTTTTTTTTATTAATCACAAAACATCTTTAAATAATCTAAATCATTCTGTTTTTTTCTGTCCATATATGTAACTCATTAACCTAATCAGAGGTTTTAGATTTTTATTTTGAAACTATGTTAGATTCATTACATGCACATCATTTTCTATTTAAGGAATTTTCTAATTATTCTCATCAAGATAATAAACATTATCTTTTATTCTGAAAAGATAGTTACTTGCTTAAAGTGTTCAGTGATTGCAATATTACACTTTTTTACTCTTTTCTTACCAAAAGTCATCAGAAGATTAATTATCACTACTTCTGCATGAGCACAAAAATATTCTATGCAAGAATTTTTCAAATCAGTTTCTGCAAAAAGATTTTTGAAAGGCATTCACTTTTTTTTTTTTCATCAAGGATGCATTAAATTCAATTAATTAAGCATTTATATTATTACAAAAGATTTCTATCTCAAATAAATGCTGTTCTTCTGAACTTTCTATTCATCTGTGAATCCTGAAAAATAAAATGCATCACAGTTTCCACAAATATATTGTGCAGCGCAACTGTTTTCAACATTGATAATAATCAGAATTGTTTCTCGAGCAGCAAATCAGCATATTAGAATGATTTCTGAAGATCATGTGACACTGAAGACTGGAGTAATGATGCTGAAAATACAGCTTTGATCACAGAAATAAATTACAGTTTAACAGATATTCACATAGAAAACAGCTGTTTTCATTTATAATAATATTTAACATTTTTTACAGTATTTTCGATCAAATAAATGCAGCCCTGGTGAGCAGAAGAGACTCTTTGAAAAACATTACCAAAAGCTTTTGAACGGACAGAATCTTACGTGTCAGTATTATTGTTTGTCTCTCAGATTCCAAACATCATCCTCCTCTGGTTCTGTCCACGGCGTCAGGCAGCTCAGAGGGCGTGGCTTCTGCCGGCGGGGGCGTGTCCAGTGGATACGCGGTGACCTACAGGCGAACGGGCGGAGCTCAGGTCAGCATGGTGAGTGGAGGGACTCCAGGAACTTATAACCGTCTGGAGTCTGGGGGCGGAGCCGAGGGCGTGTTGCAGGGCGTGGCCAGATCGCCCGGAATGACCAGCAAAGCAGACCGGCGCGCCGGGATACACATATCAGGGCCATTTTCTGTAACCGTCCCGCTTCATATAACGTCTGGACTGGCTCTGGGTGTCCTGCACGGTGGCTGGAACGAGAAGGAACAAACTCTGCAAGGAGACGAAGCAGAAGATGAGGACTTTAAGAGCACAGAAATAGAGACGGAGTCCACAGATGGGAATCCACAGAGCAAAAATGATGATGTTCAAGAGAGGGAAAGAGAAACTAATAGTTATGTGAAAAGTCAGGTGGATTGTGGGAAGGATATGGCAGAGATTACAAAAAAGGAGAATGACATGCCAGAAAAAGGAGATGCATCGAATGCCAAAGAAGCAGAGAAAGAAAATCTGAGTCAGAATCAAGAGTCTATGAAGGAAAATGTAGAAGATACACAACCACAAAACAAAGAGGAAACCACAGAAGAGGATTACATGGGTAAGAGAGAAATATTGAGATTATTATTCACTCACATGTAAATGTGAGCAGTCCGATGATCACAAACTTACAAGTTCAGAATGAGTTGTTTTTGCAATTTTGTTTAAAAAAATAAATTTTTTTTGCAATGTTTTCAAGGCATTTAGGGCAAGACACTGCAAGGAAAATAGGGTAAAATAGGGTTTTTTAGTGCTGTCAAACGATTAATCGCATCCAAAATAAAAGTTTTTGTTTACATAATATATGAGTGTGTACTGTGTATATTTATTATGTATATATAAATACAAACACATGCATGTATTTAATATTTATATATTTATTATAATATAAAATATAATAATATAAATATATAAATGTACATACATGTAAATGCTTTCAAAATATATACTGAATGTGTGTGTATTTATATATACATAATAAACAAACACAGTACACATTCATATATTTTGTAAACAAAAACTTTTATTTTGGATTCCATTAATCGCGATTAATCGTTTGACAGCACTATTTTTTTGCATTCGTTTTTTTGAAATGTTATGTTTAAATATGCAAATGGAGCATTGTCTAATTAAATATGCACTAATTTGCATACATTTCCACAACAGAAATCTGAACATTGGTTCAAAGTTCTTGTTTGATTTTGTTGACATATTAAAGGTTTTCACAGAGGGGTTTTTGGGTTTCTCTTTCTATCGCTCCATAAATCAGAGAATACTGTCAACAGACAGAAAACAAACACATTTTCACCATGTCTTAGGCGTAAAATGTTGTATAAATCAATGTGAATGAAATATGAACAAACCCCTCTATAAAACCCTTAAGAATATAGAGAGGAATAAAACTAAGTTTTGGTGTTTGTAAGTGCTTCTGAAGTGGAGAAAAAAACTCACTGCCTTTAAAATTTCGCATTTTTACCATGTTTTCAGGAATAAAATGTATGTGTAAATATCAGTGTGAATGATATATGAACAAACCCCTCAGTAAAAACCTTCAGAATATAGAGAGGAATAAAACCCTAAGTTTTGGTGTTTGCAAGTGCTGCTGAAGTGGAGAAAAAAAACTCACAGCCTTTAAAGATATGCATTTTCACCATGTTTTAGGAATAAAATGTTGTATAAACCAGTGTGAATGATATATGAACAAACCCCTCAGTAAAAACCTTCAGAATATAGAGAGGAATAAAACTCTAAGTTTTGGTGTTTGTAAGTGCTGCTGAAGTGGAGAAAAAACTTTTAAAGGTACGGGTTGTAATTAAAATCTACAGACGCAAATAGATAAAGCGTGATAAAATAAACACCTATAAGTGTATTTTGGATTTGTTTTCCCCAAAAGTCTTAAAAATCACTTGAAAATTGACCAGTGCATGAAAAAAAAGTTTTTGCCTGTAGTGTTTAATTTATTGCACTTTATCTATTTGCATCTGTAGATTTTAATTACATTTCATATCTTTGAAAGTTTCTTTCTCCACTTCAGCAGCACTTTCATACACCAATACTTAAGAATTTTATTCCTCTCTATATTCTGAAGGTTTTTACTGAGGGGTTTGTTCATATATCATTTACATTGATTTATATTTTTAACATCTTATTCCTAAAAAACATTTAGGATTTTACCTTCTAGGATCTGTTGACAGTATTTTCAGATTTTTGGAGTGATAAAAAGACTAATCCAAAATCCCTTCTGTAAAAACCTTTAATATATTGCCAAAACCAAACAAGAACTAATGTTCAGATTTCTGTTATGCAAATGTATGCATATTAGTAACATACAAAAGTATGTTCGCAATTTTTTATGTAATCAATCAACTGGGGAAGTATGGTGAGATATATTAGTTATTTCTTACCCTATTCACCTGGGATATTTTGGATGTTTTTTTTTCACTAGTCTGAAATAACACATAAAAAGTCAAAAGCCCAAAATACAAAACCTGATCAGTGCATGAAAAAACAATGTTTTTGCCTGTAGCATCTTGCCATAAATCTTAAAATAATATGTAGTACATTTTGATTGCTCATTACATGAGCTGTGTGAGAAAAGTGTGTGTTTATGCAGTAATGAATTAAATCACTAATTTAATTGAATTATTTTACACAATATTATAAAATTATAACCTAATACAAAATAAAATAAGTTTTATTCAGTATTAAATAATACAGTAGTGTGTGTACACACATACACACACACACACACACACACATATACTGTATATATATATATTTTTTGTTATTATTATTTTTTTATTAAGTAAATTAAGTTATTAAAAGTAGTTCTGCCTTTGTAACTATCTACATAGTATTGTTCATTACCTAAGAGGGGTTTGTTCATATATCATTTACATTGATTTATATTTTTAACATCTTATTCCTAAAAAACATTTAGGATTTTACCTTCTAGGATCTGTTGACAGTATTTTCAGATTTTTGGAGTGATAAAAAGACTAATCCAAAATCCCTTCTGTAAAAACCTTTAATATATTGCCAAAACCAAACAAGAACTAATGTTCAGATTTCTGTTATGCAAATGTATGCATATTAGTAACATACAAAAGTATGTTCGCAATTTTTTATGTAATCAATCAACTGGGGAAGTATGGTGAGATATATTAGTTATTTCTTACCCTATTCACCTGGGATATTTTGGATGTTTTTTTTTCACTAGTCTGAAATAACACATAAAAAGTCAAAAGCCCAAAATACAAAACCTGATCAGTGCATGAAAAAACAATGTTTTTGCCTGTAGCATCTTGCCATAAATCTTAAAATAATATGTAGTACATTTTGATTGCTCATTACATGAGCTGTGTGAGAAAAGTGTGTGTTTGAAAATGAAGGCAAATGTGAATGTTTTTCCCACAGACATGAGAGGAAACCTCCATCAGGAACCCGTCAGTCCACACTTCTATGAGGACATGGAGTTTCCAGACCCGGATCTGCCACTGGATTTTCAGGAAGCATTTGGGTTCCTGGATTCGATGGACAGCTGTGCTGCAAACCAGGTGTGTTTATGCATGTGTGAATAAAGAAATGAATGAGTGAGAAATAGCAGTCTCACGACTACTCTTCTCACAAGAGATCTGACTAATGCTTACTGCTGATTCCAACAGTACACAGTACACACAGATATTAGTTAACACATAAATTAAATTAAATTAAATTATTAAAAATAAGAAATTAAATCGAATTAAAACTTAATAAAACACATTTACATTTTAAAGTACTGTAATTAAATTAAATTAATTATTTTTAATTGTAACATTTTTTATCAATGATCTACTTAATTTTATACAAGTAACTATCTACATAGTATTGTTCATTACCTAATAAAATCTAAAATATTTTATAAAATATTATAAAATAATTAATTAAAATTAAATTTCCTTCAACTCTTCCGTGATCTTGGATGAACATTTTTACCAGAGCAATGCATTGTGGGATTGTGTGATGCTGTATTATATGATTCTATAAGAGGTTTTCATTCAGTTTCAGTGATTAATTATCTGTAATTTTTTAAAAATGAGTCTAAATGAAGTACCGTATAAAGTAGTTTAATACTGTTGACTTGTTTGTATATGGTGAGCACGCTTATAATGCCTTAAGATGTCTGTAATTGACGTCTGTCTTGCGTTCTGTCTTCTCCAGGTTGAGTTCTCAGTCGAGGCGCCTTGTTTTGAGGAGGAATATGAGGATGAGGAGGATGAAAACAAGGACAGTCTGTCGCAAAACTGCACTAATGAGCATCAAACACAGTCCTTCACACACAGGCCTCTTCCTGGAAAATCACACAGCCTGCCGTATAAGTGCCGCCCCTTCCTGCCGACCCCATCATTATCCTCAGATGACGAGTACAGCCCTGCTGATGATGATGAGTCTGATAAAGGTTCTGAATATGAGGACATGTTTTGTCAGAGTCTACCAGCCTGTCGGGGTTTCCAGGGACTGTCTTGGTTGAGTCCACACACCACCGCTGGCTCGTCTACTAGCAACGATGTAGATCTTCACACTAGTAACCAATCAAACGCACTTCCTCCAGAGAACAATAATGATGCGCAATCCATCGACCAATCAGAAGACGCGATTCCTGCAGCTTCTGCATCGACAGACAGACGTGAACCCGCTTTTGAGCCATCGCTTTGTGAAGAACATCTCAGTTCAGCTGTATTAAAGACAGATGAAGTGCGTATGGATGAAAAGAAGAACGACGAGAGAGATTCAAAGGATGTGGAGAATGATAAACACACACTGATGTAAGTACCTGAGTTCTTCTAGAATGAAAGTTAATTTCTTTCATTTATTCACATATGACTTTATTTCCTGTGAAAACATTAAAGGAGAATAAAACTATTCTTATAGAGGTTGTCAAGGTCTAATAATGACAGGAAACACCATAAAATAATTCATACAATTTATGTGCTATATTACACTTTTTTAAGTCATATGATGATTTGTGTCCGAAACAAACAGAAAATTTTATTTAATTTACATTTTTACTTAAAATATTATCATTAAATTGTTAAATTAAATATTTCTGACATTTGAATAACTACTAGTTATGTATAAATGTACTGAATAAATGTAGCATAAAAAGTACATAGCACACAAATATTAAATTAATAGTAGTAATAATAAATGTAAATAATTTAATAATTTGTTTTTTTCACTTACATTTTTGATTAAAACTTAATTAAAGTTAATTAAATTAAATTACATATTTTTTTGTTAAACTTAGTTTTAGTAACTTAGTTTGATTATTGCATTATAAATATATATATATTAATAATTAGTAACTTCATAATTTTTAATGTAGTCTAATTCAATAGTTTAATTTACATTTTTAATAAAAATATATATTAAATAATTAAATAAAATTACTTAAATTAATTTATTAATTAAATATAATAATAATAATAATAATAATAAGTAAATATATATTATAATTAATTAGATATATACACATATTTATCACTTAAAAAATAAACAGCACACACAAATATTGGGTAATTTATGATTAATTTAATTATTAACAATTCATTATTTTCTAAATTTTTGAATCATTTAATTAACAGACTGAAAATCTTCCCAGTATTCATAAGGACTACTTTTATCATTCATTTACAGTTGTTTTTGGAGCTCGACGGCCCCTGGTCACTGTATGCTTTCTTTTTTATGGAAAACATAAACCTGAACACTCTAATAATCTCCTCTACTTGTGCTTCAAGGCAGAAATAATATTGGGTTGTAACAACACAAACGGTGTAGCATATGTGTAATATTTGACTTTTGTATGTGTACAGAGGAGAAGATGATCTAGAGAGTGAAGCCAGTGAAGAAGACACTTATTTTGGACCGGACTCGATTCCTTCTTCACCAGAACCCGACCAAACTGAGACCGACAGCACCAGCGTTCCTGAGCCCATCCCAGCACTGTCTCCAGCTGAAGATGCTCAGCAGGTGCTGGCTGCTGACAGTTGCCATGGTAACAGTGAGGTAACCATCACCGATGAGCCCACGGATGCAGACCGCGTCTCGCTGACTCCTCAAGACCAACCGCCAGAGGAACAAACACTGATTATAAACCAAACAAAGACCGAAGAGGGTCAAGCGGTGGAGGCTGAGAAGAGAGAGGAAACGGAAGTTATAGTGGAGATGGAAAAATGCAGGGAAAATGAAGGAGAAGAGTGTGAGAACAACAACAAAACAGATGCAGGAGAAGGAAAGTGTGAAGATGCTGAAGAAGATGCAAAACCTGGATCTGCGGAGGAATGTAGTGATGGGAACGGAGAACAAAAACAAGTGGACACACCTGAAAGAAAAGAGGATTTCAAGGAAAATAGTGGAGATTGTGAGGAAAATGCAAATGATGGACCTGAAGAAGGAGAGCAAGACAAAAACAAAGCTGAAAAACAAGAAGATTTAGAGGAGAATAGTGGAGATTGTGAGGAAAATGCAAAAGATGGATCTAAAGAAGAAGCCAAAAGACAAGATTTAGAGAAAAACAGTGGAGAATGTGAAGAAGGAGATGAAGGACACGCAAAAGAAGGAGAACAAGAAGCTAAAAGACAAGAAGTTTTAACGGAGAATAATGGAGAATCTGAGAAGGTAGATGAGGAACATACAAAAGAAGGAGAACAAGACAAAAACGAAGCTGAAAGACAAGAAGATTTAGAGGAAAATAGTGAAGAAAATGCAAATGATGGACCTGAAAAAGAAGCTAAAAGACAAGATTTAGAGAAAAACAGTGGAGAATGTGAAGAAGGAGATGAAGGACACGCAAAAGAAGGAGAACAAGAAGCTAAAAGACAAGAAGATTTAGAGGAAAATAGTGAAGAATCCGAGAAGGTAGATGAGGAACTTACAAAAGAAGGAGAACAAGACAAAAACGAAGCTGAAAAACAAGAAGATTTAGAGGAAAATAGTGAAGAATGTGAGGAAAATGCAAAAGCTGGATCTAAAGAAGAAGCCAAAAGACAAGATTTAGAGAAAAACAGTGGAGAATGTCAAGGAGATGAAGGACACGCAAAAGAAAGAGAACAAGAAGCTAAAAGACAAGAAGTTTTAACGGAGAATAATGGAGAATCTGAGAAGGTAGATGAGGAACATACAAAAGAAGGAGAACAAGACAAAAACGAAGCTGAAAGACAAGAAGATTTAGAGGAAAATAGTGAAGAAAATGCAAATGATGGACCTGAAAAAGAAGCTAAAAGACAAGATTTAGAGAAAAACAGTGGAGAATCTGAGAAGGTAGATGAGGAACATACAAAAGACCGAAACGAAGCTGAAAGACAAGAAGGTTTAGAGGAAAGCCGTGAAGGAAACTCTGAGGAGGACGTGAACGTAAAAACAGAAAGTTCTGTTGAGGGAGATCTTTCTCCTGAAGGTGGAGATGATCCGGAGAAGTCCACACTCGTGCAGCGACCACACGAGATGCAACACGAACAAACAGAAAGCAAAGAGGAGACGTCCGATCCGATCTCAGCGGCGCCTCGCAAACGCAAACCCGCGAATCCCACCAAAGCGGTTCCTGCCGTCCCTCCCAAACCTCAGAACTCCAAACTCACGGCGTTCACGCTCAGAAAACAGCTTCAGCACAGACAACACGACGATAAAGAGGCGCAGGCAACCGACCAAGAACATGGAGCGGAAACTAAAACGCCACCGAGAGAAAGCGCGGGGAGCTGTAAAACACAGCCGAGAGGAAAAATTGAAATCGCATCATATGACCCCTTTAATAAATAAAATAATTTAATAAAAAAATTAAAAAATGGTTGGTTACAAACCATCCACTCTATAAATATTGATTAACTAGTTGTTCATTTTCAGACTTGTTTAATGTTTTGATCATTGTGTTGCATTATATATCCTAATGCACTCAAAACTCAGGAACAAATGCATAAGAAACCGAACACAGCCGCTTAATTAAGACAATCTGTGTATATGATGGTTTATGGGTTTTTTATCTCTGTATACATCCAATGCATTTTATTTCAATAAAATAGAATTTTAATTATCTTTTGTGCGTATATGATGTATGTTTTTAATGCTTTCACTAGCAGACGGAGCCATTTCTAATTTGTTTTTTATTAAAGCCGTACAAAAACTCTGTTATGCTGCTTGATACTGCAAACTGGTATTTGTTATATTATTTAATATATACACTGGTTTGTAGCACGGGTAGTTTTACCATTTACTGCACTTTGCTATATTTAGTCTTTTCTATTTTTGTGTCCGTGGCTAATGAATTGATGGATATCTGGCAAGAGGTTTGTCTCTAATTGAATTTTATTATCAAAGGCTTCTAGCAAGACTTTCTCTTTTCTGTATTGGATTGTCATTATGTGTCATTTCCCCATTTAATCCCATCGGTCACAATAGTGACCATAAAGAAGTAAAGCTCTAAAAATGTTACTGACTGGCGTTTTAGTGCTTTTTTTTTTTGCAAATATGGAAAAAATTAAGGGTCTCAATTAAATATGTGCAGCGTCACATGGTTAGTGCAAATTGTCACATGACCAGAGCAGTTTACTTCCTGTTTGAACCATGATTTGATGACGGCTGCATCAAAGCTCCAAAAACAAAAGGTTAATAAAGTAACAAAAATATTGCAAAGATTTTTGGTACACATTATCTTTAAGGTGTCTAGTATTAATGTACGTGTTTCCAATTGTTCAGTTTTGTTGAGTGTGGTCATAGAATGAGTAAACATTACGGTGGCAACAATAGTGACCGCTGGGATAATAACTATTATTATTTTATTTTTTATCTTAGTATACCTATTCAGTGTTGTATAAGGGTTTTTATGTATAATAGTATAGCCTGACCATAGAATGTGATAAGACAGTTTAAAATGTGTTAATAACTGGGCTGAGATATATACACATCCATAAACCACACTCTTTTCCATAAAAAAAAAAATAATAATAATTTGATTATTTTCAAGGGGTTACTAACAACACATCATTTTGATATTTTCATGTCTAAGAAAAATTTGGGATTAAATGGGTTAAGTTCATTATTAGATAAATTATTATATAATTTCATATGGAATAATAAACCAAATAAAATCTAAAAGATTCTAACAATACATGCATATATATATATATATATATATATATATATACATACAGTTGTCTTGCCTATACAAGTTCTTTGTTGGCATGAATAAAGACAAAAAGCCAGTCTTGAATATCCCAAACTGTCACTGACACATATGAGCCATTTCAAAAATGCTTATCCACAAAATGCTTATTATAAATCAAAAATAAATAATTTTAAAGGTTGTCATCAACCTGTCTCTGTTTCCATGGTTACCTCTAAGAACAGATGCCTATTTGGTACCAGGAGAAAATAACTGTAAGCAACTTTTACTCTTACTAAAACATTTGAAAATGTTGTTGAGTATTAATATGTAAAATTACAACAATCCAGAGCGAAGCGCATCCGTTTTTGCGGCGCTTCTAATTTTGGATTTACGGTGCTTTACAAGAAACAGCCCAAAATCCATTGGTCCTTCAAACGGTGACGCACTTCACTAGGAAATGGTCAACTGTTTTGTGAGATTTGTGTAAACACTATTGATGCGCGCTCGGCATTCACCAAAGGAAACCACCAGATCGCTCGCGAATCGCCAAACGAGCATCATCTGCCTGCGCGAGGACCATACAAGCACTTTATTCGACACTTAAGCGACTGTAATGTCTGCATCGGTCGATATCCACGCGCAGCTGGCGTCGATCCTCGAGCGCTTCGCCAAATGCGCGCTGCTGGAGATGAGCCGCGCGGTGGAGCAGGAGATGACGCGCCGCCAGATGGAGGTCGAGACGCTGCTGGTCAAGCTTCAGTTCACCGAGAGCGAGCTGCGGTCGGCCCGACAGAACCAAGCGAACCTGCGCTCGGTGGGAATACAAGTCAACAACAGCGGCCAGAGAGGTGCGTGCAACTCCAGACACGCGAGCGTGCATTTAAAATCAACATGATGCTGTTTAACCTGTGCTTTCAATCTTTAATCCTAATATAATAGCTTCCGCTGAAACGACTTTCTTTCTCTGCTGACGTATGGAAGGCCCCGCTGCGGTTCAGCCAATAGCTAGCGACCCGCGTTCTAACCACGCCCCCTCAACCTGTCATAAGACGCCACATAAAACTAGCCTCGCAGCGATGGTGAAAAGGTGCATCTTTGGATGTTTTCCTCTCAAAATGTTGAGTAAAATGGGTTGCAAATTCAGATTCATGTTGACTTTAAATTGAAGTGCTTAGCATAAAACATAAACATTGGGATCAGATTACACAAAAATGATCATTTCATCATTTACCCTCATGTAAAATGGTTCCAAAACCATATGATTTTCCTTCTTTCATGCAACATTCAGAAGATATTTTGCATGCAATGAAAGTGAATTTGAACCACCATATAAAGTTGTCTAGCTGGCTTGTGCTCTATATTCAAAGTCTTCTGAAGTCATTTGATAGCTTAGTTATTAGTTTTTAATTAATGGAAATATTTTCTCTCTTTCTAACATGCCCTTAGGACTGTTTTTTAAAAATATACATACATGCATATGTGTGTGTGTGTGTGTGTGTGTATATATATATATACAATTTTAGTTGAATTACTGAAATAAATGAACTTTTCCATGACATTCTAATTTATTGAGATGCACCTGTATTATACACACACGCATATACACACACACACACAAAGAAAAACAATAAAAGGTAGTTTTTTAAATAGAAAGCTGGTGTTTGTTTGTTTTTTTGTAGTTTTTTTTAAATAAAAAAAAGAAGATAAATATATATAAAGTAGAATTAAAATAGAATAGAAAGTGCTAGAGTTAGAGGGTCCATGCATTGTTTCTGTTGTACTGTATTTCATGTTTTTTTCCCCACTATTTCTTTTTCTCATCAGAGGTGAACCTCAACCTTGTGAAGTTCAATGAAAATCATGACGGAGAAACACAGACAGAGACGTACACAGACGATTCTTCAGCACAGACATTCACATTGAATGTAAGCATTGCTTCGACTCTTAGATTAGATTCTTATTCAGTATGTTATATAGTATCTTGGTTTCTTGTCATTCCCAAATGCAGGAAGATGGAATCAAATCCATTCGGATCAAAGAGGAGCACATGGAGGAAGGACAGTGGGACAGCGGACCGAGTAAAAGACACGCACAGTCCTAAAATAACCAAACTTTAAAAAATTATAATAGTGCTACCAAGTATTTACTCTTTATGATTGTCAAATATAATATTCTAGTCTACATTCTCAGTCGTTTGAATGATTCCACACTGTTTTTATTCTAGTATCTCCTGCTCTTTGCCTGTTGGGTCCAGAGGTGGAAGACCAGGACAGCTTCAGCGCGGGAACAACAGGACCAGCTAGAGAGGGTGAGCGTTCACTTCATACCAGAACTAGTTTAACTAACTAGTGATTCGAATTAGGGGCCTTTTTTAGCTGCTCTACCAAGCATCAGATACACTGCACAGTATGTATACAGCATGGTTTCGGTACAGCAGGGGTTGAAACGAAACATGAAATTGCTTCTTTTTTTTTTCTTTTTTATTAAAGATGAACTATCATGCCCCTTTTTACAAGATGTGAAATAAGTCTCTGATGTCCCCAGAGTGTATGTGAAGTTTTATCTCAAAATGCCCCACAGATAAATTTTTATAGCTTGTTGAAATTGCCACTTTTAGGGAATGAGCTGAAATGCGCTGTTTTTGTGTTTGTCCCTTTAAATGCAAATGAGCTGGTGCTCCCGCCTCCCTTTTCAGAAGAGGGCGGAGCTTTAAGAGCTCATGCTCCGGCAAAACAGGACAATCTCACGCAATCTGATTGTACTGTGCAGTAAATGCGCGTTTATGAATTACACAGACGGAGAGCACGGCGCGATAAAAATAACGACATAGCTGGTCTCATGGTAACTTTGCGTGCTATCACATTATGAGCTCGACAAATTCAAGCGGTAGACTTCACATTGCTTCCATATGCAATTTTTAACTACCACATGCCTACTTACGATCATTCTGGTAGCACGTGAAGGCAGCATCAGTGAAAACAGGCAGAGACAATGGTAGCTTTAGCAACATTAGCCTTACAGAGAGACAAGAAGCTCTTTCAGAAAACAAAATATGACGCGTGATGCTTACTTTGTCTGGAGCGGACGTTCGCGCACGAAGCGTTGGTATCGATCCCTCTTTCAGAAGCAACCTTTGCACAACTCCAGCGCTGAATTATGCAGAGAGTGTCACAAATGGGCAGGACTTTCCCTAGTAGGACGTCATTATAGGGAGAAATCTGGAGCCGCTTATTTGGAGAGACTGTTTATGATTTATTGAGATTATTAAAAATGAGTGGGTGGATTTTTACCATTATAGACTGGTTGTTTTCACACACTGCGGCCACACAACTGTGTTCAAACACCTTATAAACACCTTATAAAAGTGATTTTTGCATAATAGGTCACCTTTAAACAATGGTTTATTACCAAGTATATAAAGCTCTTTCTGATTCTGAATTTGTTCAATAATTGTGGTTCTGTCTTTAACCCTCTGGCGGTCAAAAATGAATGATTTTTTTTTTATTTCAATTAAATGAATTTACTCTATTTTTTTATTTAATATTTTGTATTTTTATAGGGGTTTTATGCTACTAAATTATACTTATGGAACACTTATGATCCATTTATTACCTGTTAACCACTTTTTGAGCATAGACCTGAAAATGTAATTTCCAGCTTAAACTGTCATAAATCTTGAGTCCTTAAAAAGTCTTAAATTGAGTTGTATCAAATTTAAAGCCATAAAAAGTCTTAAACGGTACAATAAAATCTTAATTATGATTTCAAGAGGTCTTAAATTTGGGGATGGAAAGACAAGATTAAATGGCTGTGATTTCATTATATTTCTGCTGTCCCGAAAGCGCCTCCTGCTGGCAGAGAATGAATGTGCATTTTCAATGAGCCCGTCTGCTGGTTTTGTTCAGACCAATGTGAAAATCAACCCATGTTTTTACACAGCAAACACGCAGAGTTGTAAATGTGAACTGGTGGATCGACAAGAAGATAATGAATTATAAACATCTAAAAATTAAGACAGTAAGATATATATTATTTAATTAATATAATAATTGATATGTAATTGTTTAAATTACTATAATAATTGATATTTTTGACTCATCCATTTTCTTAAAAAATGGTTTAAAGTCTGAAATGTGAAGTTTATCATTTTATCAAACTTTTGTTTTTGTGAAAACCTGTATCTGAACTGTAAATCACGCTTTTTACAGTTTAATATGTTACTATAGACATTGCTTATATGGTATTAACTTTATTTGTGCAGGTGTTAAAAAGTCTTAAATTTGAGCTTAAAAATCCTGTTTGGAGCACAGACTTACATTTGGTCTCTTTTTTTAAAGAAGACATTTGGCAGATTATTGCTGAAGTGAAAAAGTTAAAAAATTGAAACTAAAAAACAGTTATAGAAGTTAAAATTAATTATTACGAAAAAACAATAATATTTTTAAATTTTATATGAAATATATATTTTCCAAAACGTTTAACTCTAAAACTGCAAGAAAATCAAAGCTATTAATCTAAACGAGTCGTGTTCCAAATTTGAGGTTGATATCGCAAAAAATTAGCTTTCAGTAAGGTTTTGTTTGGCTGCAGTACCAAACGTTTCCACTAGGTGAAATTCACTTCCCATTCATTTCAATTGCTGTCATTTTTGACTGCGAACAATATGAGTGGGACTATTTTCTTCTGGACCATTTTATCCTTTTTTTCTTTTTTTTTTCACATAGCAAGTACCGAAACATTTACTAAGTTTTGTACTATTCCGATGAAAAAAAAACAAAAAAAACGTAAAACTTTTCCATCAAAAACAACCAAACAACACCAGAAGGTTAATAAATTCAATTATAATTACAATTTTCTTAAGTTTTAAAAAACAAATCTATTTCAGTTGATTCTGTAAACTATAAGGGAGCCTTATTACTTGCACATTACTATAATATTAAAGGTTACAATTAACAACAGAGCCCAAACTATTAAATTATTAAATTCAACTGCTGTTTATTTTTAAATACAATAATCAACACTCAAAAAAAGAAAAATGTACATGGGTCAAAGACGAAAAAGGGTTTAAGCATAAAAACAATAAGTGTAATACTGCTTTAAATTGTTGCCTCTGCTCTCTGTACTTCAATCTGCAGGCAGTGATTTCATCCTGACGAGTAAAATCAAGCCCAGCGGATTGTGGAATTCACCCGTTTCTGAGGAATATCCCATCAACTCCGAAGACCAGAGTTTGGACGCGTCTCCTCTGGAATCAGGCGAGCGATACGAGAGCCGCCGGCTGGATCTGAACACACAGGTTCACGTGGAAGAAGCGTACAGACCGGCTGAGATCTCCCTGCGTGCGAATCCGTCAGCGGCGGAGAGGAGCTCACGCTGCCCTCAGTGCGGAAAGACCTTCACCACGCGCTTCTACCTGAAGATCCACCAGCGCATCCACACCGGAGAGAGACCCTACACCTGCCCGCAGTGCGAATATAGATATGCTCAAACTAACAACAGCAGTATGTCCAATAATAAATAACCAAATAGTAAATAAATAAAACAACATAGAGATGCTCAAACAGTACTGTTCAATAATAATCACATCATAAATAAAATTAATATAGAATAAAATAAAATAATATCGAGATGCTCAGACTAACAACTGTAATAATGAATAACCCGATAATAAATAAATAATTGTTATTCAATAAAATTTCATACAGAGATGCTCAAACAACAGTACTATGTTTAATAAAAAATAAATAAAAAAATGTATAAATAATTTAAATAATTTAAAAAAATTATAAAAAAAATTCAAAATAAAATTGAATATAGATATGCTCTAACTAACAGCAGTAATATGTCCAATAATAAATAGCCAAATAGTAAATAAATAAAATTTAACATAGAGATGCTCAGACAACAGTAGTGCTTAATAATAAATAATCACATCATAAATAAAATTAATATAGAATAAAATTAAATAATATAGAGATGCTCAGACTAACCAGTAATAATGAATAACCCAATAATAAATAATTTTTAATTAAATAAAATTTCATACAGAGATGCTCAAACAACAGTACTATGTTTAATAAAAAAATTAATAATAAAAAAACAATTAAAATAAAATTGAATAGTAGTATGTAAATAAATAAAACTTAAAGAGATACTCAAAAAAGAGTACTGTTCAATAATAATCACATCATAAATAAAATTAATATAGAGATGCTCAAACTAACAGCAGTAATATGTCCAAAAATAAACAAATAATAAATAAATAAAATTTAAAGAAATATATCTTAATACATGCTCAAACAACAGTTCTATGATCAATAATAAAATCTAATAATAAAACTAATTAAATATAGAGATGCTTAAAGTAACAACAGTGCTATGTGCAATACTAAATAATAAAGAAACAATCCAATAATAAATAATTTAAATAAAATTTAAGAGATGCTCAAACAACAGTACTATGTTCAATAATAAATAATCAGTTAATAAATGAAATTAATATAGAAATTCTCAAACAGTAATGTACCAATAATAAATAAATATAAATTAATAAAATAAAATTTAATATAGAGATTCTCAAACTAACAACAGTATTATGCCCAGTAATAAATTAATAATCCGATAAAACGGATAATTTCTGTTCTTGAACTTCCGCTGCCCGCGTGACTTTTATTTTGCCGGATGTTTCCCCAAAGTTCCGGTCCACCGGAAACACGCCTCACTTGCAGCGGTGGATTATGTTGTGTTTCTCTAGTAACAGAACAGCAGAGTGTTTGAGCAGCGAGATGAGGTCTGCAGCGGCGTTACAGGCGCAGATCTCCGCGATCATGGACGTGCTGGCGAAGGCGGCGGTGGCGGAGATCAGTCAGCTGCTGGAGGAAGACGCTGCTGCTCTTCATCAGGAGATCCGGAGGAGGAACGAGGAGATCCGGGGACTGAAGACGCGACTGTTGCTCACCGAGACTAAGCTCCAGAGAGCCGCTGCACACAGATGCTCCGCCGGAGTACAGCTGCAGGTCCCGGACACGACTGAGCCTGCAGTCCTGCTGGGTGAGTGTTTGGTTTATATATATATATACTTTTAATATATAATTGTATTAAATATATTTATGTCTCTGTCTCTGTGTGCGCGTGTGTGTGTATATATGTGTGTGTGTGTGTATATGCAAAATATGTACAATTTAAAAACACATGTTCACAAATATATATTAAAAAATATATATATATAATTCGCACAAATATTTGACATATTTATAGATTTTTTTTTACATGTGTATAAAAATTATTTTTTTTATTAAAGTTATTATAAGTTGATTGTATCATTTTTAATATATAATTACATAAAAAATAAATAAAAACAATACTTTTGTATCTATCGAGTCTATATACACACACACGCACATATGTATATATATTTATTTATTTATGTGTGTATTTTATTATTTTTATGTAAATTATATATTAATTATATAATCAACTTAAAAAAAATACAAATTTTGTACTCATGTAAAAAAAAAAATATATATATATATATATATGTAAAATAATTACATGAATGAATTATATATATATATATATATATTA